ATTATTGATTGTTTCCGCGCTCGCGCTGCGTTTCGCAAGACGCTGTTATGTACTTACGTATCAATAGATGCCTATACTGTTACTATTTAAGTGAATAAACTGTGCATTCGGATTATTTGTAACGTTTCATTTATCATGCTGTGACGCCTCATAATTATTATTAATAAATAATAGTTAAATTCATTATACAGACATTTAAAAATGTCTTAGAAATTATAATTTAAACAATAAAATGCAAATAATAAGCATAGAGTTCAAAAATATCCATTTGGAATATTGAATATTATATATATTAGTAAACGCATAAAATGTCTCTAAAAATCTCTAAATTTATTAAAAACCTGCTTAAAATGTTCAAAATGTATCAAATCATATAAATACAAGGCGATTATATTGCAATAACAAAGATAAATAACATTTGTAATATAATAGAAAAAATGGATTAAAATTTTCTAAGTTAATGAACGTGTTCTTGTAATGTTCCCTTATATTGGGGCGTTGTCGGAGACACATACCCAAGGTTGTACATATATATGGGGTGGTCGGCTGACCGACTGCTAGTACTAAGGTTGCACAATGACTAGTCCTATATTAGGGACTTAACATAGTAAGGTCTGACGAACCAAAGCATTAATATAGAAGGTCTCTATGATGCATAAGCATTATGATAGCAGAGTTATGACTTGAAGTCCCATATGAATAAGACATACAGTAGTATGGTCTATGAAATAAAGCAAATATGTGGAAGGTCTCAAATATGTAAAAGCATTATATTGAAAGAAATGGGACTTAAAAAGGATTATTATAGTGGCGTGTAGGTTGCTTCGCAGCCTCTGAGACCGAGGTAAACTTGGACTCACTAACCGATGTGTCCTAGACATATCATCTTAGTGCCGGTGGTAAGCGGGTTTGTTGTAGCAATACGACTTGCCCGTGGACATCGCACACCCCTACCGGTTGTGGGCGGCGTCTTAGCGCATAGCGTTATGATACGTCGGCTATCTTTCGGATTAGGGTGAGTGTGTTTGGTAGTACTTTTAAGTGCAGCAAGCATACTCAACTTCATGTCTTAGTGCAATAGCGCTATGATACGTGGAGTTTTGGCTACTGACGTCTTAGTACCGTACTACTATGATACGTCGGTGGTATTTTTAGTTAACAACATTATCAAATTTTGTTACCAAAGTCGATAGGGATCATGTGGGTGTGTTGTGAGGGGGCGCCATCCGTATGATAGTTGCATTGATGCTTACTGCTACTTGCAGTATTGCGTCTTGTGATGGATCTGCGGGTGTACTGCACCTGATTCGATGCATCTTGTGGTTCTGGTCGATGGAGGTATGCGGGTGGTGATGTCTGCTGGGACTGTATGGGGGACCTTGGGATGGTGTAAGCCCGACGATAGTCGTATTGATGCTTGTTGCATTCTGTAGCATTGTGTCTCTACGATGGTTGTTTGGCGGGTCGCTATTCTCAATGGCGCTCTCTGCGTCTTGGTTTGACTCACAACCTAAGTAGCTTTGCCCAAGTCGGGTCCCTTCATAGCGGGGCTGCAGACTGTCTGCCCTCCATGATGTTTTATATAACAACTTAATAATATATCTCTATAAAGTTCCCACCTTTGAGAGATTGAAGGCAACTTGTTGGTGGGTGAGACAAACATGATCGAAAAATGCATATACTCAACGTCAGTGACACAAACCCTTTCTGATGGCGAATTATTAATATTATCTTATAACTGCCTATTGGCTATATCTGCCATTGTATTGGTTGGTGGAGCATATGTGTTGACCTCATGCGGGTGGTAGCTGGAGGGAGAATCTGAGGAGGCTCTCAAGGCTGCGGCCGAAAGCCGCGCAACGTGGGACCCCATTCCCTTGAGGTGAGCGGTAGACTCATGACACGCTCTGCGGCCAATTGGCCGTGCTGACCATGCAATTGGTGGTGATGCCTTACACTTACATCACGTCTGCAGGAACGGCGGTCTGGCAGGTGGTGGCGCTCACGGAAGGCTTTTTATGGTCAGTGTGCCGATTGTTGCCTAACCCGTGTGACGTACATTTCACTGTGGCTGGATTTGATCGTATTCTGTATGGCGTTTACACGCATTGACATGCGCGACTTCGGTCGATGTTTGTGCTTACGCACTGTCAAGGGGCCAAGTCCTCTTTTACTGGTTCGCCAGTTATTTTGCTGTGGACTACGGTCCAGTTCCCAACTTTGCGTACCTTTCGGGGGGAGCGCATTAAAATGGTTGGCGCTCACCGTGCGCGGCGTGTGTGGGGCCGTGTACCTCCTCCACATTTTTTTTAAAATGTGGGAGAGCGAAGCCCTTGTAACTGGTATTTGATATAAATATTGTGAGCCTTTTCCAAGCGGGAAGGGATTAATTAATAAGGAATTGACTGTTGTGAACCAGATACAAGTGGAATAGGGACAATTTATTGTTCTTAACCTTTTTGAGCTCTGTCTTCGTGAACGGGGTTCTTTAGCTTATAAGACTCTACCAACAGCTTTCGATTGCTCTCGTGAATATTCATTCTTCCAAGATACACCTAAAAGAACTAAGTTACTATACAAACACAACGTAAAAAAGGGTCCTAACTAAGACGATCACGCCATAAATTTATTAAACGGCCTATATTTAAACCTTTAGAAAGATCAAGTTATACTGGTCACGTAAATTAGATGTATTTATATATCTTACAGATATAGATTCTAAAGAAATACAAGTATAAGTGGGATATAGTAGAAAAGAAAAAAGATGGGGGGGGGGATTCGTTACAATGCGTAACAAGTGAACGTTATATTGGGTCCCAACGGTGGGCCACGAACGAACCTACCGTGGCTCTCGAAGTTTCTAGTGCACAAGTACGTACGCGAGTGTGTGCCTAGTGTACCTACGCGTTCATCCCTTGATATTGAGACGCGAACTACAAGGACTCAGTCATAATGCCGCCGCGAAAACCGCGTAATAAGGACTCCAGTTCGGATGAGGAACCGGTGAATCCGACACCTGTGGCACCTGTAAACCCGACACCTGCAGCACCTGTGCTTATGTCCGAGAACCAGCTGTCGTTGCTTATGGCCGCTTTCTCTGCGTTTCAAGCCGAGGTAAACCAGAAGCTCGTCCAGTCTCTTCTGACATCGCACTTAGGGGCGCCGCCGAATGTCGATTCAAGCGCTGCCGGCGCGGCCACAGTCACGTCACCGCGGTCGTCATCTCTCCCAGAAACATTCGTAAAATGCACTGCACGGTTCGACGGTTCATCTCAACACCCGGACACAGTGGAAGCATTCATTGACGCGGTGGAAATGTATAAGGATTGTGCATCAGTTAGTGATGGGATGGCACTTCGCGGTCTCCCTGTTACTTCAAGGAGACGCAGCAGTGTGGTGGCGTGGAATCCGAAACGAAGTACACTCGTGGTTGGATGCTGTGAAACGCCTGCGCTCGATGTACGGAGTTCCACGACCAGCATATAAGTTGTATCGAGACGTTTTAGCCGCCAAACAAGGATCGGAGCGTGCCGATATTTTCGTCGTAAGGATAAGGGCTTTGTTAGCGAAACTACCCTATGAGTTACCAGAGGAAGCGAGATTAGATATGATTTATGGGCTTCTACATAAGAGAATCAGAAAACGGTTGTCGAGAGATACTGTGAATGACATCGAATCTCTCATTGAAAGATCTCGAGCTATAGAGGAGTCACTGTCGGAGAACGCTGCGCTGCCGCCGGTCACGCCGTCACAACCGTCGGCGTCGCCGCTGAGTGTACCCGCGAGACCCAGTCGCAAGCATGGCGACTGACTTCAGCATAGTACTTCGGGTTCGAGTTCGACGGCGCCGCAACTGCGCGCCCCCGACTCCGCTTCGCAATCATCACGTGACCGTGTGCCTGTGCCACGTAGTGATCAGTGAGTGAGCAAAAATAGTGATGGTAAGAGAAAGAAGCTATTCTGTGTTTACTGCAAAATGCGAGGATGCGTCCGTGATTCCTGTGATAAGTTATGTAAAAGATCTCATTCTTCTAACTCAGGTATTGTTTGTTATAATTGTGGCCATATAGTAATAAAGTCATATAATAATATGACCTTCATATTAGAGTAAATTGCCCTAAATGCTTACAAAGTATACCTTCTAATGATAACATTAAGGTTGAAAATGTATTTTCGTCCATCTTTGTTAATAATTGCATCTCGAATTCGAAATCGATTGTAAGGAGCAAGATCGGCCTATCGTACGAGTGAGTATAGAGGGATACTCGGGTACCGCGTTGTTAGATACCGCCGCGCGTCGTAGTGTTGCGAGTTGTTCACTTTAAGCGTTAATGAAACGTATCGGTTTAAACTTTCGTACCGAACTGATGTCGGTAAAGCTTGCGGACGGTACTATTAGGAATAGTGAGGAGCTACTCACGGAGGTAAATGTTCAACTTCCTTCATTAAATATACCTATCGAGTTCATTATTTTACCGAATTCCGTTAATAAAGATACTTTGTTAGGTATTGACCTTATAACAAAGGCTAGAATGATTATTGATTTTGATAAATGTAATTGGCGTACAGATCAGCCCCGAACATTTCACGCCTTGTCATGGGAAACTCGTCGCGAACCTGTTGAGTGCGCCGCCGCATTGAACGTGTTGCGAGAGGACGAGGCCACCGCGCTATCGGAGTCGAAGAGGTCTAGACTGGCGAATCTATTAGGTGAGTATTCTGACGTTTTTGATGTTGTCGGTGAACCGACACCATTCGCCGAACACCATATAGATACCGGTGACCACCCGCCGATTGCTGTGCCCCCGTATCGGGTTACGCCTGCGAAGAAGGAAATCTTGCGCGCCGAGTTACACAAGATGCTGGCTGATGGTGTGATTGAGGAGTGCGAATCCGCCTAGGCCGCATCATGCGTCCTGGTACCGAAGTCTAATGGTACCTATAGGTTTTGTGTAGACTATCGCAAGCTAAATGCGGTTACCAAGACAGATGCATACCCCATGCCGCGTATCGACGAGCTGTTACAGTCAACCAAGAAGGGCTGTGTGATGAGCTCGCTAGACCTCCGTAGTGGGTACTGGCAGGTTAGTACTGCGGACAGGGATCAAAACGGCCTTCGTAACACCTACCGCTACCTTGGGACCTACCGATTCACGCGTATGCCGTTTGGCCTGAAGGGGTCTCCGGCAACGTTCCAGCGACTCATAGATCGCTTCCAATCAGGACCTTCACTTGGTGGTAGGCATATTCTAGGTTATCTTGATGACCTATTAGTAATTTCAGAGAACTTTGAGTACCATTTGTCTGATTTACGTGCGGCATTTGAGCGTCTTCGGATGTTCAAGTTAAGAGCCAACCGCGAAAAGTGCGTGTTCGCCAGAGACCGACTCAAATACCTAGGTCACGTGATATCCAACGACGGTATATCTCCAGACGAAGATAAGGTGCGTTCAGTCCTAGATATGAAAGAACCGACTAATCTCCAGCAACTTCGTACCTTCCTGCAAACTTGCTCTTGGTTTAGAAAGTTCATACCGGAGTTTGCGAAGGTAGCTGAACCGCTTACGCGCTTTACCAAAAAGTCACAGATCTGGCAATGGGGAGATGATCAGCCCAAAGCCTTCGTACATCTTAAGTCCCTTCTGGCTTCACCACCCATTCTTGTTCAGCCAGACTACTCGAAGCCATTCATCCTTAGGACGGATGCCAGCGATTTTGCACTAGGTGCAGCTTTACTTCAGGGGTAGTCTCCTCAGGATGAACACCCAATCGCGTACGTGAGCCGTCTCCTCACATCAGCCGAGAAAAATTATACCACTACGGAGCGGGAGGCGCTAGCAGTGGTTTGGGCCGTGGAAAGATTCCGTGGGTATATTGATGGTCACCAGGTAGTGGTCAGAAGTGATCATCAACCCCTGAAGTGGCTGTTTTCTGTCAAATCGCATAGTGGTAGGCTTGTTCGTTGGGCTTTAAAGCTACAATCCATTGGTCTTCAAATGGAATACACTCCTGGGAAGGCTAATGTGCTAGCCAACACACTTAGTCATCCAGTCATCGATAGCACTCTGACGAAATGTGGTGTCTGCCCCGTGTATGTTCCACGTTGGGACGCTACTTCGACCCGTGAAGCCCAGCTGGCTGATCCAGAAGTAGCCAAAATACTTAAGGACTTGGAAAGTTCTGATGAGCTGTCAGTTCATCGGTGGTCGGAGAGGGTGTACCTGGTAAACCAAGGTGTTTTGTACCGGTACGTGGACGACACCGATACTGAGGAGCTTCAGCTGGTAGTACCCGAGAGTTTGCGGGGCAAAGTTATGTTTGAGTGTCATGACTTGCCAACTGCCGCTCATGGAGGTATTCAACGGACTTTGCATCGTATATCACTGCAGTTCTATTTCCCTGGTGTGAGACGCTATATCACCGATCACCTGAAGACCTGCACTGAGTGTCAGCGGTATAAGTCTTCCAACTTGAAACCGCCTAGCTTACTCCAGACTCCGGTACCGGCTCAACGATTCGAGGTCATTGCCGTCGATCTCTTTGGACCGTTACCCAAAGGACCTCAAGGTGAAAGGTTGATTTTGAAAGTGGAGGACACTGCTAGTAAGTGGGTCGAACTGTTTGCTCTAACCGAGGCCACAGCCGAAACCTGTGCGAAAACTCTTGTAAGTGAAATCTTTATGAGGTATGGACTTCCTAGGCGGATGATCTCCGATAACGGTGTCCAGTTTGTGGCTGATGTTATGCAGAAAGCCCTGTTTGTACTAGGTGTAAAACAAAACCTGGTGCCTTTGTATCACCCAGAAGCGAATCCGGTACAGCGGAAGAATCGGGGCCTTAAAGCTCACCTCGCCATTCTCGTTGAGGGTAATCATAAGCAATGGTCTGAGGTATTGCCTTTCGTCTGATTTGCTCTTAATAGCTCAGTCAATTAACTTTATATTAAGTTTCCTGTCTGGATATGAACAATAATTGGCATCCTTCGTTTGCATACGCTTGGCGATTTGCAAATCGTCGATGTCAAATTAATGATGCTTCTATTCCTATTCATTAACACTTCATGTTTTGGTTGATAGTTTGTTCACCACATTACTTTGTGTTAACCATTGCGTGATTGCAGTGATAACATTGTCCTTTAACTATACGGATTATTTGTTCCTCTTCCCATTGCTGTATGAGGAAGATTAAAGTTGCTCAGAATGCTTGCTCGGAGTTTCCTTACGTGATAGAATACGTAATAAAGATATCAACAGCAGAACGGTGGTAATTAATTTTGAAACGAGGTTCCTTATCGAACGGCACGAATTTGGTGAATGGGGGCTAGGCGAGAAAAAGTATAAGATTTTTCCGTCACAACCCCTTCTGACGTTGTGTAGACGGCCTTCGCGGCTATAAGGAAACGCGATGGAACTGTATCCATCTTCCTCGCAATTTTTCTTATCGTTTCATGAAAGAAATATTATTTTATTTTAAATGACGCTTCATGTTAATAGACGCTAGTAATTCATTTATTTGTATTTGTTGATCAATAATATAACAAGTTTATCAATAACAATGTACCACGAAAGAAGACACTCGCGCAAGTTTTCTATAAATACAATGGTTTCATTTGAGTAATTTCAACCACCAACCGTATGCAAACAAACAAAGCCGTTTCTATAACGAATCATACAAGCTGTAAACAATTGTCCATTATGCTTTATTTCCACTGTCTTGTTGGTCTCGTGGTAGTAAACACGATTGCTAGTCAATGGGTTTCGAATCCCAGGTTGGCCCAGAATCAGATATTGGGATTTTTTGGCAAGAAATTCTCAGTAGCAGATTGGACCCTGGCCAGTGAGGAAGTTGGCGCTGTTTTACTCCCTTGCCTCAGAAAGCACGTAAATCCGTTGGTTCTGTGCCTGACTTCTATACGGTCGTATCTGATTACCTTCCTAACAGAATTGAGAGAGAGAGTGCACCTATGCTTGCGTACTGTACACTCAAGCACTAAATCCTGTTCTGTGCAGATTGCTAGTCTTCGAAGAGACATGGGATGGAAATCGTAGATGCTATTTTTTAGTTGTTATTAGAAAGACAAGGCCGCACATTTCCTGGTTTGTTTCCATATGTCGCCTTGTACGACACCCGGCAAATAAAATGAAATTATAAAGTTATATGGGGCTCCTGAAATATCAACTTTTGCAGAAGAAATTGAAAAGGAAGGAAATCATTAATAGCAATAAAAATTCAAAGAAGAAAATCGATTACTTCAATTGTTGAACTCTTATAAAAGGCAAATACGAGCTTAATAATAAACTGCCGTGTCTTATTTCGTAACTTGACATTAAGCGCTTATAGGGAAAGTCGTTTCATGAATGATTTATCTGCGTCAAGTACACACTTTAAGCAATCCTGATTTTATTTCTTAATGTTTTAATTTTTTAAAAAATGTTATGCCCGCTCTGGTATTTTGCCGCGTATCATTATGGCATTAAAATGCACTTGTACAAACATTTAAAGCCATCACCTATCTGATCCTAGAATGACTATGAACCATCATTTCGACAAAAGAAAATCATTGTGTAAATATAAGCTCAATCGATCAAGTCGTTAAGAAATTCCACGATCACTAACAGACGCACCCGCGCTTACAATACTAACGATGTGCCTAGGCTTCGCCTCGGTAAGATCTATTAATATGGCGGCGATATTAAAACCAAATACCTTTTTTTTCATTCGGATTTCCTGTATATCTGTTGGTGAAGTTTCATTACAATCGATGCAGCCATACTGAAGATTAGCTCGGACAAATTTCTTAATGGCATGTAATTATTAGCTCTCACTGGAGCTTAATCAAAATCAGTTATATTGATATTACACACAGATACTTTAGATAGACAAAAATAAATATTTTTTTTAATATTTAGTTTGTACTTATTTTGTTTTTTATAAATGATTTGTTAAAATATCAATAACATTGTTCATTTATGTCGCTATTGGAACAGGCACATAAATGCTTCGGAGAGTAAAATAATGCTAAATAATCAAACGTTAAAATTAATTTTAGTTCAAGGCAAATTAAAAGCAAACTTTGTTGGTTTCTTAGTAAAACTAATATATTGCTCCAAATTATACAGCAATAATATTGATTCTTATTCTGAACTGAAATAATACTGTGAATAAAACTAATGTAGAACTGAACTGAAATAATACTATGAATAAAACAAAGTCAGAGCCACGCTGCAGCTATAGTATGATTGTAGCAAGAATGGGTCGGCCCGACCGGGTAAGGACTACGCTCTCACAGAATACATCCGTAAAACAACAGCTTAATATTGCTTTTTTTTGTATGGTGAGTGTAGAGAACTGGAGACCCTTGTTACTGAAAATGAGACATTATTCCGTTTTAGTCATCAAGGGTGCCAACGCATTCTACATTTTGATTCTAAAGGCCACAGCATCCACTTACCATCAGCTAGACTATATGCTCGGTTGTCACCCTTATTCTATATAAAAAATGTAGTTTGTTACGTTACATTTTATTTACCAGCCGGCTTCAAATAGGAGGAGGTTCACGATTCGACTAGTTGTTTTTTATAGGTATGTTACGCGATATCTTCGCCAATGGAGCCACGATTTTGACTATTTTTTTTCAGGGGTGATCCCATTAGTATTTAAAGATGGCAATAAAGAAGATGACGTTTTTAATTTAACTTTTTAGGTGATATTGAGATTATAATATTCCTAAGTCCACTTAAAAAAGGAAAAAAAAATATATTATAAAATGACTTTTTAAAAGTTTTTTTTCTTCTTTTCATTAAAGTCTTAAAATAAAACCCGTCACAAAGGAGTTTATGTTTTCAATATTCAATACCGGTGCCGTCTTCTTTGATGTCACAAAAGCGTTTGACAAAGGCTAGCTTTACAAGCTGTATAAAATCAAAATGTTTGATAGGCTCACACACATCATCAGAGCCTATCTTGGCAATAGCCACTTACGCTATGGAATAGAGATAATTCGGTCTTCGTAGTGCTACCTCAAGGCTGTAGCACCTCAGGGCGTCGTCTTCTCCCCATTAGTCTATATACTCTCCACGAGTGACATCCCAAAGGACCCAGTAGTATGCACAGCTCTCTGTTTTGACGACACGTCACTTTTCCTCGCCAACTACAACAACATAATTTTCACCAAGATTCTCTACCCACTTTTTATTTTCAACCGATAGAAACCGATGAATCTGTAAGAGTCAAAAGGCTAACAGCATTAATATCACAGAAACTAGACTGTATGTATTCTGTGCTTCTATAATAAAAAAAGGTGCTAGCTTCTTACATCATACTGTCTACACGCAACTACTTATGGTTAGATAAGTCGTGAACTCGAACATAATTTTTACTAGGTAAAGTCAAGCATTTTTTGCCAGATAGTGGCGGTCAAGAATATCCACTACCCCATATCCTCCCGTGGGTGTCGTAAAAGGCGACAAAGGGAAACGGGCAGGAGATGGGCAGCAGCATCTTCTTGATAACAACAAACTAACAATAAAAAAAAACTGCGTTTGCAAACCCGCTCGCCAAGCGTGGCAACTATGGCAAATACCCCCCTATGAATGACAATAACAAAGAAACGGCCCCCAATCCCCGGCGGCCCCGCTATTCCTGGCTACGGTGGCGACCATGGTAACGGCGGAGCAGGGGGTGCTAAGAATCTCCGGTGGAGGTTCGGTTGCCACCTTAGATGACTCGACCTGGCAACGTACAATGC